GATGTCAAGATGTATGCCTTCAAAATAAAAGTGGTACCTTTATAGAACTAACTATAAATCTATAACAGGTAAAAAATACATCAAGCAACAAGCCAATAATACATCATGACAGTGATTTAAGGTCACAAGGTCAAAGAGACCTTATAGCCTCAGTTGTTACCTGTTGTAGGGGTCACTGGGTTGACTTTGGTGAGGTCGTCATAAGTGTGGAGTTGGTCTTCATCAATGAGGAAGGCTTGAATTTCTCCCTCCAGTGAATCATTTAGGGATGGGTGTGAAGAATGGACTTTCCGGACAAATCCTTTCACCTATGTGAAGGAGGAAAAATGGGACATTGTGTTTAAAATGGGACCGGACAACACGCAAGGGTAGTATTGTCAAAGTTACCGAATACAATCTTATTTTATGGCTTAAAATGTCAATATTCTGTTAATCTAAAAATCAGTTAAACGCTCCTGAGCTATGAAGTGCTTAAAATATTCCAACTCAACAATTATGTGTTCAAGTTTCTATTTTTGTGTTTGAGAAAGCTCTCAACGTCAACAATCATACAGATTACAATTGTCATTTAAGAATGTAATTCTTACATCACATGCTATATCCATTGGCACCATGGTTGACTTTAGAGGCCTACAACAGGTAATTGCTAACATGCATTTGTTCAGGACCATTTTGGTCCATGCGTCATGTGTAATTCTCTCAGTCACAATCACTTCAGACTGACAAATGGTAGTCTGCTTTATCCTGCCGAGGTCACATGGCCTAGACCTGCAGCCCAACAGCCAGCTTTGACAGGTGCTTTGTGCAAACACATTTAATCCAATAAAAGTTCACCTACATCCCTTCACCCTATAAGGCCATTTTAAACCATGTGTAATGGTAATGATCTTAATTGTATGATTTATAACATTATTGCAGTAAATTGAGTAAACTGCTTTCATAGCTGCTGTTCTCATACCAACTCCAGTCACAATTATGGCAATATAGTAAATGTTGTTGTATTAAAGCTTCTTGCAAGCAGGCTCCTTCTTCAATATTCAGACAATATTTAAATGTAAGCCACCAAACGTTACGACAACTCATGCTGTACTTTCAAAAGTTTCCCACAACAATCAAACAGTCTGTATTTGTGAGTGCTAATGTATATGGTAACCTTTTATCAAGCAATGTAGAAATACGTTGGCAAATTATGACACTGGATTTGGTACATTGGGAACTATTTTCATCCGGCGCATTAAACGTTATTTTACAGAGTTGTTATTTGGTCTCACTCTCATATACAGTTTATAGTCTCGCGTTGACGAAAATGTATACTTATCGTTTGAATACGAAACAGCCAATCAAAAGTGAGAACCAGGTACAATTTGATAAAGGTAAGCAACTCAAGGTCAATGTACCATGTTAACTTATTGTTAACTTCAACACTTTTAATAAGGGGAAATCTCAAAACAGCAAGTGTAGTAGACATTTTATCCGGTCTTTCCATGACTTACCGTCCCCCCTCCATTGCCGTGTCCTCCTTCTCTAACGTTACTTCGTTTGTCCGCAGAAGTCATTTAATTTACGGTACCGTTACCTTCGTGTTCGTCTTAAGAGTCAGCCTAATACCTTAATAGGAACTTCGCCTATATTTTTAAACAAGCCAAGGTGTGGTTATTCTACACTACAGTCTCGAGGCTTAATTTTTTCCATTACTGTCAGAAATTCCTTGAGGAGAACTTCCCGTGTCTGCTGCTTGTCCGACTGCTTTCCTAACTCCTGAAGCCCACACTTATTCCCGCCCTCCCATGATGCTTCAGGGACCCAGCTGAACATTACACCGGTGTTTTTCTATAATTACACTTACTTGTATATTTTATGTCTGAGACATATAGACATATATACAGTCTATGCATATAGATGCATATTAAATGCAGACTTAAAATCAGGAGGTTTTGTTTTTCTATTTCTATTTTTACTTATCCAAAAGTCTAGTCTTCATTTATCGGTTGCCTGATGTAGACACTGAAACAGAGCTATTTGACCTTCGTATTCACGATGTAGTTTTAGCAAGATAAGTCAAATAGCCTACTATTTAGAATATTTAGACACACAGGACCTGTTGAGGTTGGAAGTCCTCATAAATCCGAGTTGTCCTGAATGCGTCACGGGGTTGAATCCGGAAGCATAGTGGCTCTGAATTTGTATCACTGCAGCGGCATCCTGGTGGGTTAGTCTCGGGACCTCAAGCTACTGCAAACAGGTATGCTGTGAAACAGGTTTTTGTGAAGTTGAATTTCCGAAGCCTGACAGTAAAATCCGTGGTAAGTACTGATCACTAGACAAAAAACGACCTGGTATTGCGTCGTAGTTGGCTATTGCTATATCAGATAACTGAATGAGAATGTAATAATGAGTCGTAGTGAGTGATACTAGTAAAATACCATATTAAAATGTGAAAACTAGTGCAGTTGAAAGTCAAATTTGTATGGTTACGAACAAAGGCTGCTTGAGCTGAAAATATGAAATCAAGTGTTTAATGCAATGAGGGGAGACTTTTTTAGCCTCTGAATCAGAAAGGTCTAAACACGGGCCCTGTATGCTGTCACAGAGTCCTAAATGTTGTTAAAAGTGTCTTATTAAATGTGTTTATATGTGTCCAAATGTGTTTCTCTGATTTAAGTTAAAATAAATCATTTTATTGTTTTCAGGCCATGTCTCAGAAGGACCTGAAGGAAGCATTTATCAGTAACCTCAATGGGACCAGTCTGCAGGAGGTGGCCCTGGGCTCTTTTCTGGCCCCACTATGTCTCATTAACAGAGGACTGATTTTGACTATCTACTATCAGGCCAAAAAGACTCTTCCTCTGCCACTTCCATTGATTTCTCACCTGATTCTAGACTTCTGTTTGCTTATCCTTCCCCTCGTCCTGTCGTGCACCGTGCTGAGCAGCGTTCTCCACCAGGTCATCTTGGGCCTTACCGTTGTTTCAGCCTTTGTATTATGGTACATCCACCATGTCAGTATTCAATCTGCTCAGAGAACTGTCAGCACCTTCCTCAAAAGCCACGTTCAATTCAAACAGGTTCCCTTTGTGACCATCTTTCGAGTGTTTGTGAATGTGAAAACAGCCATCAGCATTCTTGCCGTAGACTTCAGTGTCTTTCCAAGGCGATATGCTAAAGCTGAAACCTATGGGACAGGTGTTATGGACTTTGGTGTTGGAGCGTATGTCTTTGCAAATGCCCTTGTGTGTCCAGAGGCACGGGGGAAGAACATCTCAGGATCCAAGATTAATCACATCGCTAAGCAGCTCATGTCTGTGTGGCCCCTGGTTGTGCTTGGCATGGGAAGGCTTCTGAGCCTCAAGATGTCCGGCTACCAGGAGCATGTGACAGAATATGGCGTCCACTGGAACTTTTTCTTCACACTAGCTATTGTCAGAGTTGTGGCTTCTGTGCTTTTGGCCATTTTACCAGCCAATAAATCATGGCTCGTTGCCCTTCTGATCAGCGGATGTTATCAATTCACTCTGGAGACATCTGGCCTAAAGGCTTTCATTATCCACAACAATGACAGAGAAAAGGACTTTCTCCATGCTAACAAGGAGGGCATATTCTCTGTCCTGGGTTACGTAGCCATCTATATGGCAGGGGTTCAGGTTGGACTCTATGTAATGCAACCCAGATCCAATGTTAGACAGTGGCTCCAAACCATTTTTAACCTGTTCTTGGGAAGTGTGGTCCTGTACACTGCTTTGTACGCATGTCTGACATTCGTTGAGCCAGTGTCTCGCCGCCTAGCTAATCTACCTTTCTTCCTGTGGAGTGTGGCTCAGTCTTTGTTTTTTATGTCCTGTCTTGGTACAGCTGATATGGTTTTGCTGTTTTCCAAAAGATCATCAGGCTGTCACTTGATGCCCACATCATGGAATTTGTATAAAAAACAATCAGACTCTGATAAAAAGACAGACGAGATAGAAAGACACTGTATTGTTCAAGCCGTGAGCAGGAATCAGCTGTTATTTTTCTTGCTCGCAAATGTCATGACGGGCTTAACCAACTACATAGTGGACACACTGAGTTGCAGTAGCTCATTTTCAGTGTGTGTTTTGCTTTCTTACATGTTCGTTAATTGCTCTGTAATACAGATTTTACATTTCTTGGGAATAACTTTGAAATTCTGGTAAAATTGCATTCATCAAACATGGTTAATTTGTGTAAGGGTTTTTTTTCTGGGGGTTGACTGGCAGACTTGGACATTTAAAAATGCTGAAGACATAGATGTTATGTTACGAGAAGACATTTTCTGTGATATTGAACATAGAACTGTACATTATTTGTTTGTTTATGGAAGTAAATGAATGTCATGATAAAATGTTGTCTCAAAATAAGTGAGGCCTTGGAAAACAAATTATAAAAATCCAAAAGTTTTCTTAAATTCTCAGTTGAGTCATTGCTAAATCATGCTTTCTTCTTATTCATCTTTTCACCTCAATTCCTCTTCCTATTCAGGCTGGCATTTAGGTAATGTAGAATCTATCTTTTTTTGCTACTGTTTCTACTAGTTAATTCACCCTCTTGGATCTTGTGCTTTTTTATTAACTTTTTTTGTATTTTATTTCTATTGTGTTTTTTTATTTTGTTGAGCTGCATTTTAATGAATGAAAGGTACACAAATAAAGTCCAAATATTCTTATTTCTTGTTTGTTACTTCCCTGCTTATTATTTGTATCCAAAAATCGGCTAGGGTTAAAATCTAATACAGAAACATAATTATGAATACATATATATTAATATTAATTAGAAAGTGGAAATAACAAGTAATAAGAAAGTGGAAATACCAAGGGCTTTGTTAAACATTTGAAACATACTTGATTTAATCAACTTTATTTGTAGGCTTACTATTAACCTTTATATACAGACTCTATGCTATTAACACATTTTCTCTCAAATATATAAATAAAGCGCCCCCTGTAGGCCACACCCACTATAACGCCAGCTATGACGTGAAAAGGGCAAAGGTGAAATCAGTCAGGAAGATTTCGCCACCGTAGCAGCTCTCTCACTGTCGCACTTGTTTATTATTTAAGGAGAACTTTTAGTAGCGGGTAAGTGAACCCAATAATTAGTCTAAGTCAGGTGTCCCTGTCATCTGTCGAGGTGACATGTTACTTTCAATATTTTAAATGTAAATAGGAGAAGCCCGTGAGAATGACAGTTGCTAAGTAGCCAGTCACCCAGTCAACTTTGCATTAGCCGTATTCAAGCATTAGCCTTGTAGGAGTTAGCCAAGTTTGCTGGCATCGACAGGGCGTAGACATACGATATCACCACTGCAGTATATGTATTATTGGTTAGAAGGTTTCTAAACTTCAGTTTACATTCATCGCATGAACATGTTGTGCGAATAATAATGGCCGACTTCCTACATTTCTAAAATCGTTCTGGCAAATCAAACTAGCTAGGAGGCTAACTGACTAGCCGCCGGTTACCGTACGTTTCTGCTTTAGCCTGCCTAGCAAATAGCAAGGTGTAAACATAGTCATAATTCATATGTCTTGCTCAAACTGCTTCAAACTAGAACTAACTGAAGCGTCATAGACCTTCATCCATCCAAGCTGTCGTTTATCAGGTTGTTTTACTAACTAACTAATCTGGGTCAAGACAAACCTGTCTGTACTACAACTGTGTGAGTAACGTTAAATCAGATGTTATCAACGTCAGGAAATAGTGGGTGTTGTGTGCCGTGTTTTATTGCCTGTTTGTCGGAAACATAGCTTTTGGTGACAAGGTGATATTACAGTTAGCTTGCAATGACCTGTAATACATTAGCATTAGCTTGGTATAGCTTGTGCAAATGTGATTTATTGTGTGTCACCTGCAGGCGAGCAGCACCACAGCCCACTGGAAGAAGTCATGGCCCGTTTGGTAGCAGTTTGCAGGGAAGGAGAGGAGGACTACCCATTTCTCGCCCGACAGATTCCTCTGTATATCGATGATTCTCTCACGGTTAGTCAGCTTTCCCATGTTGGTGATCACAAAAAAGAATGGAGATTACATGTGTAAAGTGGCTAATCATAATCCTCTTTGGGTCAGGTGTTAGCACTCCATCAGTTCTCTGACTGATTTCCACAAATAAAGGCTAAGTTATTACCAAGCACTGATTATTATCTAAACATTTAAATCCAGGGAGGGACACACAGTTTTGCTAACATTGTTATACTATGCATTAGACAAAGATATATATTTTTGTTATTACTTTACATTTCTACACCTTAATGTACACCTAAAATGTTCTGCTAACTGCTCTGTACAAAGACACCTGCAAGCCAATCAGTGTCAATATAGTATAAACTATAACAACAAAGACTGCAATCTTGTCATGTGAAACTTATCAGCATGGCTGCAAATAAAACATTTCTACAAATATTGTACTTTAACTGTAATATGTTTTCTCTCTTTGTCAGATGGTGATGGAATTTTCTGATAGCGTCATGGATGTTGACAGCCAAGAAATAAACACGTCTCATTGGAAACAATTTTCTGAGGTAAGTGCTAGTTGTAATCTTCCGTGTACAGAGGCTGACAGAAGCCTCATGTGACTTGTCAACAAAGTGTTAACAAATGTATGATTCCTTCAGGATCACTCCAAGTTGAAGCAAGAGGACTTGAATATTGCCTTGATGGTGAATTCCAGAGAGGTGTACAGTGCATTATCTCAGCTGGTGCCATGCGTGGGCTGCAGACGAAGTGTGGAGCACCTTTTCTCACATTTAGTGGAATCTGGGAACCCAGCCCTGGAGCCCCTCACAGTGAAACCCACAGGCATGCTCTCTGTCACCAAAGCATGTTTAGCAGACGTAAAGAAGCTGTACACCCTCTTCTACGTCCACGGGTAAGATACAAACAAGTGTGTTCCTAATATGTGACATCAATAAGAAATGCTCTCTATGTTTTTTGGAAGATTATGAAAGCATACTGCTACAGTATACATGCTGAAATAATGCTCTTTAGTACAGTGTTCCTACAGCTTAAGGCAATTAAGATGTATTACTTTATTAATGGCACTCAAAATTAAATGTATTACCAACTTTACAATTAGCAAAATGTAAGAAAAAACCACAACATCAACCATTTAGGGTTAGGTACAACTTTGCCTTTTTTTTTGGTCCAGTAAAAAGATGGTCGAAGCATTTTTGTATTACTTTTATTGTCAATACATTATATCAATATAAATGTAAGGCCTTATAATCAGATACATGAATTCAATGCACATACTGAGTAAAAATAGGTTCTGACACTGTGTCCTTTTCTTCTTGAATAGTGTCATATGTGAACAACTTGCACTGTTTTCTTTTTTTCAGGTCAAAGTTGAATGACATGATTGATGCCATTCCAAAAAGTAAAAAGAACAAACGCTGCCAGTTGCACTCCTTAGAAACACACAAACCTAAACCTTTGGGGTGAGTAAAATGACTTTTTCCTGTTGTATCAGTGGTTTCTTTCTCTAAAGAGACCTTAAGGCTGTTTGTGTTATGAGGCTGCATTTTAATCATTTTCTATCCAACCGTAGTGAAGGGATCAAAGAGAGAGTTGTACGTTTTAAGAGTTACACTGAAAGACGACAGTCTCCTTTCCTTTTGGACAGTTTGTGTCCCCTGTCCAGTAGAAAGAAAACAGAAGGTCTATATTTTGGGTCAGTCATCATTGTGTGCCATTTGATGTTTTTAATTTTTTACAGTTTGGGCACTTTGTCAAACATGACATTAAAGCCAAGCATGAGCCAGTTATACAACTAGAGTTAAATAAAGAGAATATTAGACCTGTTTTTATATGACAGGTTGTCAGAAACGCAACCACTGAGGCACGCTAATGGACGCTAATGTCGCTCAATATCTGCTGGATGTGCGAATTCTGTAAGGTATTGTTTGTTAAGAATTTCTTAAAAGGGTTGCAAGTGTTGTGTATTACATTACATGTCATTTAGCTTTTTTTATCCAAACTGACTTGCATATAATTCAATACCTTAGACCAGAGATGGAGTACTCAAGCCCTGGAACCGACTAACTCCCCTTGTGTGTGTGTATGTACAGCTCTCAACATGCCCAGACTTGTAGTGATTTTCGCCTCATTCTGAAAGAAAGAAGTGAAATGTGCCAACGTGACGGCCTTCTTGGTGTGTGGTGCGAGACGGGAGATGTAGTTCATTGAGCGGTTTCACACAAAAAAAAAAGTTTTACTTCACAGTTTTACGACAAATTTTTATTTTTTTGACTTGCAAAATTATCTTTTAAATTGACAAACATTATATGTGTAATTCGTGGCACAATTCAAACGGGATCAAAAGATAATCTTTCTCTCCCCATTGACTTCAATACATAATTTTTCCGTAATAAGGTCCCATGGAGGTCCCCCGGAAAGGGAGGGACTTCGCCTCTCTAGATACATGTATGTTTACACTGCTCCGTTGTCCATTGACTTCCGGTAAAAGTTCCTTCAAAAGTCCCGATCTTATTACTATCAAAATGAAAGTGCAAAACGAAGACTTTACCATAGGAAAATATTGGCATACAAATATAATCACTTCTCTAAAACTCATTTTAAATATAGTTAGACATATTAAAGGTCATATACTAATAATAATATTAATATTAATATGAGTAATAAGCTTTATATTTGTATAGCACCTTTTTTTATACAAGAATTGTAGCCAAACTGGCTTCACAGCAGTTCAATAGACAGATTAGTATAAAATGACAAGATAAAAGCAATGTAGAGGAGCTAGAGCTACATTTCACGAAGGTTAATACATGAAGACTTGTGACTCGGACTTGACTTGGAGTCTTCTTGGGTGACTCGGACTTGGACTTGGACTCGAACTCGAACACAGGTAATGATGACTCGGACACTCCTTGGGTGACTCGGACTTGGACTCGGACTCGACTCCGACTCTCCCTAGGTGACTCGGAATCGAAAAGTGGGGACTCAAGAGTGACTTGGACTCGTGAATTGGTGACTTGACTACAACACTGCCTTAGACTACATAGCTTGAGTGTCTTGCCAAAGGACACTTTGACATGTTGACTGCAGGGGGCTGGGGATTTAACCACTTACCCTCCCCTTGGTACATGCCCATTTTCCCCCTAAGCCAGAGCCACTTTTTGTAAACAGTCTTTTTTTTTTTTATCCATATGTTGGCAAAACAATCAATAATTACAGGTTTGAGTGATGATGACTGTTCAATGTGATGGCACAGCTATAATATTTGTATGTCTGCTTACAGGGGAAGCTGGATGGATGTGTGGGAGCTGATGTCTCAGGAGTGCAGGGATGAGGTGGTCCTCATTGATAGTGCTTGCCTCCTAGAGACACTGGAGACATACTTGCGTAAACACAGGTAAAGTGTTATTATCATAGCCTTTATTTCAAACATGTTCTTTCCCTCTTAATGGCTGTATCAGTGGTACAAAAAGGTTTCAATTAACCGTGTGGATCATTCTTGTCCACAGGTTCTGCACTGACTGTAAGAACAAAGTGCTGAGGGCCTACAACATCCTGGTCGGGGAGTTGGACTGCACTAAAGAGAAGGGCTATTGCGCAGCCTTGTACGAGGGACTATGCTGTTGCCCCCACGAACGCCACATCCACGTGTGCTGCGAGACCGACTTCATCGCTCACCTCCTCGGCCGGGCTGAGCCTGAGTTCTCGGGAAGCTACGAGTAAGTAACGGTTTACACCATGAATACTACAGAGCTCTCTTTCAACCAATGATTGCTTCAGTTTAAATGGAGTATATTGTCCTGGAAAGACAAGGTAAACTGAACTAATGTGCATTTAAAAAAGAGGAATTGTTTCGCCGAAAACTAAAAAGGTACCATGGGGTCAGATTAGAATTTTCCAAAGGGGGGTTCATTTAGCATGAAACACTTGAAATAACTAAAGGATAAGTTCAAAAAGAAAGGTCAAGCTAAAAAGTTAGCAATGATTGAGAGTCAGACCTAAACATTTCAGATGTGTGTATCTCACACTGCACTGTAACTTTTATTCATGTACCTTTGTGTTATTCATGTTTTATTATCTTTGCTTTTATGAGTGTTTTTTATAATATGTTTCTTAATGCTCTTAATGTCTTTAATTTTTGTAAAGCACTTTGAATTGCCTTGTTTTGAAAGGTGCTATATAAATAAACTTGCTTGCCTTGCCTTGCCTATATCATGCCATGTTTCTTTTCATTTGATGATAATGTTTTTGATGTTTTTGAAGACGCAGAGAAAGACATGCCAAGACTATTGACATTGCACAAGAAGAAGTCCTGACCTGTCTGGGTATTCACCTGTATGAGCGGCTGCACAGGATCTGGCAGAAACTAAGAGCGGAGGAGCAGACCTGGCAGATATTGTTCCATTTGGGGATTGATGCACTACGTAAACATTTTGAGGTACAAAAGTTGGAATAATGGTATATTTCAGCCAGAGAATAAACGCATAATGGCCATTTGATAATCTATATATTACCATGCCACAAGATGGCTGTGGAGAAGATGCAGGGGATCAGTCGGCTGGAGCAGTTTGTGGAGGAGCTGTCAGAGGAGGAGAGGGCCAAAGAGCTGAAGCAGGAGAAGAAGAGGCTAAAGCGGAAAAATCGTCGCAAAAACAAGTGTGGCTTTGAGATCTCTGAGCAGGAGGGAGAGGACAAGGAGAAAACTCTGGATGAGGTAATCCTCCTCCAACAGTGAGGGACATGAAATTCTCATGAAATCTGCGTTCATCTGCAGATAAACATTCATTTGCATGTATTTATTTATGTCTGTCCAACTTGCTGTGTTGCAGGGTTCACTCGAGGCCGTTGAGGATGCTTGCAAAGTCTGTGGTAGCCACAATGAGGAGGAGGAGACCGGATGTGATCAGAGTGTGGCTGCCAATGGAAGCACTTCCTGTATCTGCCCAGACAACACAAAACAGGGTAACAATGCACGGAGGAGGACAAGGCTGTCATTGGAACTAACGAGTAATTTGTTGGAATTAATTCAAAATCAAATGCCTCCGCTACAAACAGCCCTATTTTAGTTTTTAATTTAGCCATTTGCAGCGTAGAGCACATGATACTTTTCACATTTAGGAAAGAAAGTGACAGCCACGACACGAACATCCCTAAAAGCCATTAAGTCTGTATTTAAATATGTATCCATGTGTTTTTTTCAGATGTGGCTCCCCACAGCAATGGTAGTGACTGCGGCTACTCCTCCAGTATGGAGGGCAGTGAGACAGGATCGCGAGTGGGTTCTGATATTGCCTGCTCTGAGGGAATATGCAACCATGACGAAGCAGGTCTGGTTTGAGCTGCTTTTAAGATGCTGAGGCCTCTGAACAGAGTCTTAACATACAGTAGAGGGTCTCAGGTCTTTTTCTCACAGTGTGTCTTTGTTTACCTTCTGCAGGAGATGACTCAAATGCTCACCACTGTGCTAAAGAAAAGGAGGAGGATGGAATAGACAGCTGTGTGGACTGCTGGCCACACTCTGTGGAAAACCCTCAATGCAAGAGTAAAAAGAAGAAAAGGAAGGGCAAGGGTTTATGCAATGACCAGGTAAGAGAACACACTGTAGAAGACACATTCTGTGTGCTGTACATTTACAGTTGTGAATTAACACAAGTATGCTCATTTCCACAGGGACAAAAAGGTGACGGTTCTTTGTCAGAAGAGATCACAGGCCACAGTCAACCAACATCACACACTTGCCGTACCAAAGAAATCTTTTCCTCCTTATGTGGCGGCCCATTTGCCAGCCTTGCACTACAGTTACCGTGGGCAATACATCACAATAACCTCGGGCACGATGCAAGGCATCCAGAGGCAAACACAAGTCTCGTGGAACTTCTGGTCAGTATTTTTATTTTTTATTTAATACTAAAATAAATATCCTCCTTACAGGAGACAATGTGTATTTTTATGAATGATAGAAACAATTTTTTTCATTATCGATTAATGATTTGTTTTGTTTGTAAAATATGCATCCAAGTTTCTATAAGTCCAAGTTGATGTCTTGAAATGTCATGTTTGTCAGTAAAAGCAAGAAACCTCTATATTTTAGTATGAAAAATTACAATAACATTTCAGAATATTATACAGTGGTAATGCCGTGTTGCTGCTACTCCTGTATAAAAACAGTCTGCTGCATGAAAGCTCTAGTTTATTCTTTAAAATAATTGCTTTTGTTCCCTCGTTTTTTTCTTAATAAGAATTGATTAAAGGTCCCATGACATGGCCATTTTTACTGATCATAATTCCATTGTTGAGGTCTACTAGAATAGATTTCCATTGTTCAATGTTCCAAAATCACATTGGTTTTCTCATACAGCATCTCTGTATAGTATGTGTATTCACTCTCTGTCCTAAACGCCTTGTTGGAGCTCCTGCCCCCCCCTTCCCTATGTGCTTTGATTGGTCAGCTCGCCCACTCTGTTCTGATTAGTCCACCACCGTTACAGCTGAACATCAGTATTTATGTGTTACAATGGCATTTGTTAGCAACCAGAAAATGACACCAGTAATGACAAACGGATGAGAATGCTGCGTGGGGTCTGGGTGCCGTGTTGGCGGGACGTTGCGGGGCTCGCTGCTCCGCCCTTTGAGGCTCGAGGAGCGGACAGTGTGAGCTGGATTACTGGTGTCGTTTCCTGGTTGCTGCGTGGGGTCTGCAAGACACCGCGGAACTCAGCCTGGGGAGGGGTAATAACCGGAAAAGCATGACATGGGACCTTTTAAGACACTTTTTTTGTATGGCTCAATGTAACCTCCTGATTTTCGGTTTTGTTGCTATTACAGGATAATTCAGAAGTGGCTTCAGATGAAGAGAATTGTCTGACACAGGATGAAATCAAGGCATTTTTTGAAAGAAACAAGTCCTTCTACAACAACCGCAACCGTTACCGACAGCTCCTGAAAGAGAAGTTCACCAACTACTGCCGCGCCACTGAGAGGAGCAAGCCAGTCTGTGGGAAGTGGTTCACCACCACCAGTGTCAACTAACTGCACTAATGGCATCTTCGCTGGGAAAAACACTTGTGACCACTGCTGCAACATCTTTCAAAAAATAGATACAATTCGGAAGTACATTTGATGTCTTGTTCGGTCATTTCTTCTTTAAAGCGAATTTGATTCTTACTTTCTGTTGATCATCTCTCTATTTTGCACTTATACACTTTTCCATCTCATTGTGTCACTGGTAATTGTTTTCTATGACCAAGCCTAGCTGTTCGTTGTTGGTCTTGTGTAGGGTTGTTGAGTAGGTGCACAGTGGAATCACTAATCAGGCTGTTCAAGCTGTGACATTAGGGATACATGTTAGGAGTCTTATTTCATGTTTTTCTTTTTCTTTTCTTTTTTCTATTTTGTTTCTCTCTGGTGACACTTCAGTGTAGTGGTAAAGGTTGTACCATTAAATGTGTACAGACATTCTGAATATAAATGATTTTACAGAGAATAAACATCTATTTGTATTGAAGATGTGGGTGTGATAAGAGCGCAATGTGAAAAATTTACAAAATAAAGAATATTTATTAATATGCATTATACATTTGTTCGTTGCATTTTTTTCTTACAAACACATGTACATTATGATCTTAAGAAATGGTAAAATACAAGGGTTCATATGTGAGCTTTCCTGGAATTTACTGTGAGCTTAGTGTGTGTATAACATAATTTAATATACTCTATAATTTGTATATGGTCTGGGAACAGTTCTAATTCTTGCAGGAAAACTGGATACTTGGAAACTTCAGTAAGTGATGAAGAAATTGTCTGCAGCATTTTAGGGCTCAACGCTAACTTTTAAAAGTTAGCGTTTTGGCATCAGCTTTTGGTTGCCAAAACTAAAAATACGGTTGCCATTTTTAATCACCTTATATTACTATACAGTTGGAATTTGTATATTATAACTATTACAATATACAGTATACACAGTAGTCTTTGTGGCTAATACTATTTTTTTTATCAACTTAATAATGAAAATGTGACAAAAGAATGTTCAAATGCTTTACAATAAGTAATTAACACAATTATTTGAAACTTAAGTGGTAGTAAACTTGTCCATCCTCAATTGCTGGTATACTATATATCAGTAGTGCAGCTGTTGTCATGTTCTTCACAGATCCCTCAAACATGAATTGCGCAAGTCACTAGTTTCGTCATCCGTTGTCTCCCTTTCAAATGTGGGTTCTCTTGACCTTTGTGCTGACCCCCACCATAGATCCACTGGCCCTTCAGCATTGAATTCTTGATTGTGGTTCTGTCATTGGCCAGACTAATACATTTCTAATGTTAAATAAATTAAAAGCATTCACAGACAAGAATTAGATATTAATTATTAATACTGTAAATTACCTTTAATATGTCTAACTACATTTAAAATGTGTTTTTTTATAGAAGTGATTATATTTGTATGCCAATATTTTCCTATGGTAAAGTTTCGTTTTGCACTTTTATTTTGGTAGTAATAAGATTGGGACTCTTATTTTGAAGGAACTTTTACCGGAAGTAAATGCACAATGTAGCAGAATGTACATATATATTTCGCCTCCTAGACTTTACACATTTCCTCTTTGCTTTTCGTTCGGGTTCATTTTGCTTTATCAGTTGAATCATGTTGACGGGTTGGCCGAACTTTTTAACCCACAGTCAAACAACTTAATTTGCTTCGCCATTTTTTGTAAAACAAACACACGGCGCACAGCGCACGCGAGTAAACGTGCATCGCTTTCTGGCTCCGTAATCACACCAAGTATCAGGTTCCGACTGGTCACAACAATAATTAAATATCACTCTTAATACAACAAATAATTAACATTTATCTATTTTGGGGTGCACATTTAGTTGTTTGCTGTCCTTATTTCTTTATGCTAAAATCTGGTTGGCACTGATGGCAACCAAAGGCCAAGAAGTGGTTGACATTTTTTCTGAATGGTTGCCAATGGCAACCTGGCAACCGTTACTGTCGAGCCCTGCAGAAATGTATAATTATTTCTTTAATAGAAATGTTTCTTCTGCCCGTAAAGTGTCTAAACCAGGCTTGTCTGGATAAACGCATTTTTAATACATAGTCATTGTCCATGCCGGTTTGAGTTGGATTATTTGTCACAGTTTCTCTGATCAGATCGGTCTCCTCCATTTTGTAGATTATGTGTTTTAAACAGTTTAATCCCTTTGTGAATTGTTTCCACTTGTGCCGTCCTTTAATTTCTTCATTTTTGAGACTTTTAAACTTTAATTACCGCCGTTGCGCCATTGAAAATACAGTAACACAAATACTACAAATCCACATAACAAACAATCAAAAATGAAAAATGTTACTTATTCACTTATTATTATTTTGATAAAAAAATAAAAAGTAAAAAAATAAAATATATATATATTTTTTTTTTGGGTACCTGGCTGGCGCCCCCTAGCAGCGGCGC